GTAGGTTTTAAAATACATGATGATGAGGGTACAATTTTAAATAATATCAGATAAAATAGAACTTCAGATCTGTTCATTCTAGAATTATGATTTAACCATCAATACTCGGTTTCCTTAAATTCTACCTACATTTCAGGTGACATGTGGAGCAATAGGTGACAGACTAGAAGAAGTTGAAGGTTCTCCTCCGCTTGCAATCCTACCAATCTACTCACAGCTTCCTTCAGACCTTCAGGCTAAAATATTTCAAAAGGCTCCGGATGGGGTTAGAAAGGTTAGTAACATTATTTTCTCTTCAACTTCTAATTAATCGAACTTTAACATTAAGCATATTATTACAGTTAATTTTTGTACGATTTTGCATTCTACCTGTTCATGATTTTTCAGGTTATTGTAGCCACTAATATAGCAGAAACGAGTTTAACGGTGGACGGAATTATATTCGTCATTGACGGTGGATACTGCAAACTGAAAGTGTTCAACCCCAGAATCGGTAAATTTTTATTATAATTCTGTTTCTAGATGAAAAACAGATCACACCAGATCTGAAATGATTAAAACAAAATTGATACGGGTGAATTAATTTATCCAATTGAAATCTTTATCCCTATATTTTCAGGTATGGATGCATTGCAGGTGTACCCCATCTCGCAGGCTAATGCTAATCAGAGAAGTGGCCGAGCTGGCAGAACAGGTCCCGGACAGGCTTGGAGAATGTACACTGAGAACTGTTACCGATCTGAGGTTAGATAATTATGAAAATAATCGTTTTTCGCTTTGATATATATATGCGTTATAATACCTTCCGGGAATTATATCCACTAAAAGTCTCGGACACTGAGAGCTGATAATTTGCCGATATATCGCGCAAGGGAAGCCAAGGAATTATCAGCATAGACCTCAGACTGGCTGGCGGCAAGTTGTAAAACAAATAACACTGGCGTTCTATATATTAGACACTATATTGTATCATGCGCACGTATCGGATTACACCCCTTCCAATTCGGAACCGGAAAATATTATAATACATAATACCTCCGGTTCTTCGGGCCGCAAATTCCCTCCAGCAAGCTGTCGGGAATTATCAAGCGGAGCCCGAAGAACCGAAGGCATTATTATATTATATCTATCCAATGAATGCGACTGGTCGCAAATTTTTTTCACTTGTATAAATTCCCCCGGTTTTTCAGTTACTAGCCACAACAGTACCAGAGATCCAGCGTACGAACCTAGCAACAGTTGTGCTCCTCCTCAAGTCTCTGGGCGTGTCGGACCTCCTCTCCTTCCACTTCATGGACCCGCCCCCACAAGACAACATCCTGACCAGTATGTACCAGTTGTGGGTGCTGGGAGCCTTTGATAATGTGGGTAACCTCTCAGTGCTGGGCAGGCAGATGGTAGAGTTTCCTATGGACCCGGCTATGAGCAAGCTTGTGTTAGTGTCTTGTCAGATGGGATGTAGTGAAGAGGTTTGTAGTTTTAAGTTTTAGAGGATATTATTATCATATTCATTGTAGTGGGTCTGACTGCTAAAGATTATAATCGAATGATTCTGTATAAATACAGAACCATTAGATTTATTGTTTATCTCATGTTTCATTTGATTTATGAATAATGAACCATTTTGTCAGGTGCTGGTAATAGTTAGCATGTTGTCAGTCCCCGCTATATTCTACAGACCCAAAGGGCGGGAAGAAGAGAGCGACGCAGCTAGGGAGAAGTTTCAGGTTCCAGAGAGTGATCACTTATCTTTACTGCACGTGTACCAGCAGTGGAGGAATAAGGGTTACTCTTCAACTTGGTGTAATACTTACTTTATTCATTACAAGGTTAGTTAATATGTCTGTTAATTTGTTTTACAATCGATTTAATTTCCCGAAAGAGAGAAATTTAACTCTTCAATACTTCCGGTTAGGTGACCTTCCTTGCTGAACAATTTTAAAAGAAACATCGGTTATAGTTTGTTTAATATAATTTCAAGAAGAGTTCACAACTAATAATCTAAAACAGGCCATGAAGAAAGTACGGGAGGTTCACAGTCAGCTGCTTGAGATTATGGAGAAACAGAGGCTGGAGCTGGTATCGTGTGGTAACAAGTGGGACCTGGTCAGGAAGTGCATCTGTAGCGCTTACTTCCACCAAGCTGCCAGACTCAAAGGTATGAGTTCCTTACAGTTTACTCGTGGTTAAAATTGAAAAATTGGGGTTCCCATTTATTGAATGTTTAATTTCGTTTATATTGTTTCTGAAATATCTCTATTTCCAGGTATCGGAGAATATGTAAACGCCCGAACTGGAATGCCATGTCATCTCCACCCCACCTCCGCTCTCTACGGTATGGGCTACAGCTCTGACTATGTTGTGTATCACGAGCTTATCATGACTTCTAAGGAGTTCATGCAGTGTGTTACCAGTGTTGAGGCGGAATGGCTCGCTGAGCTTGGCCCCATGTTTTACAGGTTCGTTGTTAATTTATAGTTTGTAGCACACTAAATTTATACTCTAACTAAGAAGAACGTTGTTTCTCAAAATGATTATATTAAAAACTCTGATTGTAATTCAAACCGTCCCTAGTGTCAAGGAGTCATTGCACTCAATAGAAGAGGGTAAAGCTAAGGCAGCAGAGCGCCGCAAGCAGATGGAACAGGAATTAGCAGAAGCAGAAGAAGCGCTGGAAGCAGAGCGCGAGCGCCAGTCAGCACCTTCCTCTGCTCGCAGTGCTATTGCAACTCCTGGACATAACCAGACTCCTACGAGAACACCCCGTCGAATGGGTTTTTAAACATGGGACAATTTCAGATGTGAGATTATCAGAGTGCCTGAACTTGAATATGTTTATTTGTGCTGGGAAACGTAAGCTTTATGCTGTTATCGTTGACAAGCAGATATCTTTTAACCTCTGTGAATAGTTGGAGTATAAAAAACACCCATTGACCAGTATCAGTACCCAGCCTTAGAAGATGACTGGGTTTTTATTTATCGAAAATTGAACTGCTTGAACATTTATATTCTATTTGTTTAATATTGTTTTTCATTTTATAACTTTTAAAACCAAAAGTGTGTCCGATCTTTATCGAAATTCTTGATTATAATCTAGAGGATAAGATTGTCAAACCAAAACTCTGACTCGAATTAAATCTTCCAATTTAACAATTATCAGTCTTTTATCGTAACCTAAGTTAACAATATTCCTAGCTCTCTAGCTAAGTGCAGTAGATAAGGTGATATATTATTATCTAAGTTAACATTATTCCTAGCTAAGTGCAGTAGATAAGGTGATATATTCTTATCTAAGTTAACATTATTCCTAGCTAAGTGCAGTAGATAAGGTGATATATTCTTATCTAAGTTAACATTATTCCTAGCTAAGTGCAGTAGATAAGGTGATATGTTATTATCTAAGTTAACATTATTCCTAAATCCTAGCTAAGTGCAGTAGATAAGGTGATGTATTCTTATCTGAGTTAACAATATTCCTAGCTCTCTAGCTAAGTACAGTAGATAAGGTGATATATTCTTATCTAAGTTAACATTATTCCTAGCTAAGTGCACTAGATAAGGTGATATATTCTTATCTAAGTTAACATTATTCCTAGCTAAGTGCAGTAGATAAGGTGATATATTCTTATCTAAGTTAACATTATTCCTAGCTAAGTGCAGTAGATAAGGTGATGTATTGAACTTATCTAAGTTAACATTATTCCTAGCTAAGTGCAGTAGATAAGGTGATGTATTGAACTTATCTAAGTTAACATTATTCCTAGCTAAGTACAGTAGATAAGGTGATATATTCTTATCTAAGTTAACAATATTCCTAGCTAAGTGCAGTAGATAAGGTGATATATTATTATCTAAGTTAACATTATTCCTAGCTAAGTGCACTACATGCCCATGAGATGAGGTGATATATTATTATCTAAGTTAACATTATTCCTAGCTAAGTGCAGTAGATAAGGTGATGTATTCTTATCTAAGTTAACATTATTCCTAGCTAAGTGCAGTAGATAAGGTGATATATTCTTATCTAAGTTAACATTATTCCTAGCTAAGTGCACTACATGCCCATGAGATGAGGTGATATATTCTTATCTAAGTTAACATTATTCCTAGCTAAGTGCAGTAGATAAGGTGATATATTCTTATCTAAGTTAACATTATTCCTAGCTAAGTGCAGTAGATAAGGTGATATATTCTTATCTAAGTTAACATTATTCCTAGCTAAGTGCAGTAGATAAGGTGATATATTCTTATCTAAGTTAACAATATTTCTAGCTAAGTGCACTAGATAAGCTGATATATTCTTATCTAAGTTAACATTATTCCTAGCTAAGTGCAGTAGATAAGGTGATATATTCTTATCTAAGTTAACATTATTCCTAGCTAAGTGCAGTAGATAAGGTGATGTATTGAACTTATCTAAGTTAACATTATTCCTAGCTAAGTGCAGTAGATAAGGTGATGTATTGAACTTATCTAAGTTAACATTATTCCTAGCTAAGTACAGTAGATAAGGTGATATATTCTTATCTAAGTTAACAATATTCCTAGCTAAGTGCAGTAGATAAGGTGATATATTATTATCTAAGTTAACATTATTCCTAGCTAAGTGCACTACATGCCCATGAGATGAGGTGATATATTATTATCTAAGTTAACATTATTCCTAGCTAAGTGCAGTAGATAAGGTGATGTATTCTTATCTAAGTTAACAATATTCCTAGCTAAGTGCAGTAGATAAGGTGATATATTCTTATCTAAGTTAACATTATTCCTAGCTAAGTGCACTACATGCCCATGAGATGAGGTGATATATTCTTATCTAAGTTAACATTATTCCTAGCTAAGTGCAGTAGATAAGGTGATATATTCTTATCTAAGTTAACATTATTCCTAGCTAAGTGCAGTAGATAAGGTGATATATTCTTATCTAAGTTAACATTATTCCTAGCTAAGTGCAGTAGATAAGGTGATATATTCTTATCTAAGTTAACAATATTCCTAGCTAAGTGCACTACATGCCCATGAGATGAGGTGATATGATCAGCCCCGACACACTACTTGTGTCGTGAGATGACTCACTTGTTGAGCTTGATGGATAACAGAAGTATCTCCCCTCCCAGCAGTATCACATCGTGTTCTAGAGACAGTGAGGATTTAGCGAGCAAGTATCAGCGGCTTGCTAATCAGTATGCTCAGGTTAGTTAAAAACGCATTTTTACGTGTTCAACACACGATTATTTGTTGAATAGATGCTCAAGACTAAATCAAGAATTTGTAGTCTTCTTCATCAATGTAGTTTGTTTCCTAAAAAATCCCAAAAAGAAGCATGTTTCCAGGTTCGGGCCCAAGTAGTGGTACTGAAGAAAGCATTGTTAGACGAAAGAGAAAAACACAGCTACATTAAAGATAACGATGTGGGGAAAGGACAGAAGATCCGCACCCTAGAACAAGAAGTAAGTCCGCTTATACATTATACATTATACATTATACATTATACATTATACATTATACATTATACATTATACATTCTATAGTTTACTAGTTCACTTTTATAGTTTATTTTGTGTTTTTATCTAACTGAGAAGTGTTTGATACACGACTATGTGCCAGATTGGGTTCCGATAGATTAAATCTATATTCTACCAGGTAGACAGTCTTACATTCAGAAATAAGCAACTATCAGCCCGAATAGACAGCTTGCAACAGCAGCTGGACACGCTTGCTAAGAAGAAGGTAATATTATAACATATTATAACATAGTATAATATATTATAACATATTATAACATATTATGACATATTATAACATATTATAACATATTATAACATATTTTAACATATTTTAACATAGTATAACGTATTATAACGTATTATAACATACTATAGCATATTATAACATATTATAACATAGTATAACATATTATAACATATTATAAGATCACACCACAAGTTACAGTGTGTGCTGTAAGGTGGGAGGCAGCTGTAATTACAATGATGCAGTATATTAGTAGACGTTAACCGTCAATCGGTTGGCGCTGATTTATTTTCATGAAAATGAAATGTAATGAATACCATTCAACAGGGAAAGGGAAAGCAGCAAGGTAGGAATGATGTTTCCAATAAAGACGTTGACAGTATACATTTAGAAGAGTTAGAATCAAAGATTAGGGAAAATGAAGTTCTTCATACTAAAGTAAGTTTTACTTTTACTTATTCTTTTCTCTACAATTTTTGTTTCTCTAAAATCTTTAATTAATTAACATCATTTCATTTAATTGACTTGCAGTACTTTATTAATGCTTTTCATGCAAACAAGTGAAAACGAATCTTTTATGTCATGTATCCAGGGTTTGGACTGGAATTGCCCACTTAAAGAACTTCCATTGCGTTACATTACATAATTTTCTGAAACATATTTTTAATTATAATTAATTAAAAACTCACTCCACAGTTGCAAACAGTAGAAGAGCGATATGGACTGAAGCTCCAGAAGTTAGAAGATGAGAACGCCTCACTTACAAGCGCTAAACGTAATTCTGATACCCTCCTCAAAACCTCAAAAGTAAGATAATATAATCTCTCCAGTTATTTAGAATTCATCTCCGTTACTTAATACTTCTCTCCTAATACTGTTTCCTGTCTGACCCATGTTATCCTGTACAGGAAGATTTTGAGTTATCTCTATCTAAGGAGCAGAGAAGGAGCTCAACTTTACAAGTACAACTAGATAAACTACAGGCTAAGTTAGATGCTGCTAATGCTGCTCTTGCTAGGAGGTTCTTTATTTCAAATTATCTTTTTGTTATGGGAGGGAGGGAGGCGTTGGGTTATTATTGAATCTTACCAAAGTTGGGCATTTCGGGGTTTTGCAGACTTAACTTATGGTTCATTTCGTGATTCGTTGACTTTAGTGATTAGTTGACTTTCATAAATTAAAGTTATGAACAAAAATGTATGTTTATTTAAAACATAGTTACAAACCCTTACAAATATTGAAGTCAAATTTAAATTTACTTTCATTTTTTACAATAGAAAATAAGTTATATAATAAAACAGCAATTTCATGTTTGTCTCAATCTCCAATCAGTCGAGCCAGTAAAACGTCTGCAGAACCAAGTAACAAGAGTGACACCAAGTTGGTGAAGTGTAAGAACCTCAATTTGTACGCCAAAGACAAGAAACGAGCCGTAAGTTAACACTCTTTAACTTCTTTTGTATTTATTAGAGAAACAGTGAAAGCCTAGTGAGCTTCCCGAACGATTTCTTAGAGTGGATCATATTATAAGCACAGTAAGCTGAGGGTATTTTCTTCCGGCGTCATATTATCGCACTATAGCAAAATGATGGTAATAGTCACATTATGACTGGCGAACATGTGTTTGAAAGTGCTTCAACCATCACGAATCTGCTTCTTCTAACTTTGTAAATGCTCTAAATTGAGTTAAGAATAACAAATAAAGGTATATTTACGCTACCTTCCACCAGAGTCTGATAGAGAACACGCTAGAAGTAGTGGGCGGGTATATAACCGAGATAGTGGTCTCCCTCCAGAACTACTGTACCTACCTAGAACAGCGTACCCAACTCTACAGCACGGACCTTGGGGAACCTATCACTCACAATACCCAACAAATGTGTGGGTTATTGTTGGAGAACACATCTCATATCAGACCTATGTTGGAGCTGTGGAGCTTGTTCGTTATTACTGTCAGGGACAACCAGTTTAGTTTGGTAAGTCAACATTTGGTGTGGAATGTGTAAAATTAGTAGCTTAGTTACTTATTTGCATGTGTTATTACGAGGAGACTATATTTCTCCTCGTTTATGATAACCTCGCTACAAAATCCTTCGATTTGGCAACACCACTTACCCAAAATTCATCAAAATTCACACACTTTTAGAATGTTAACCTTAATTTTCAAGAACAAAGGCATAGTTTATATTGTTGGTAGTGGTACATAGCGATTTGGGTATTTACCCAAGGAACGCTCGTGATAAGTTTCACTCGCGGCTCTGGTCAATCCTTGACTATAAACTGTATTTATTGTTGATAAATACAGTTAAATGCTTCATAGATGGCTTTATTATTGCAAAATATGGTCCTGTTGTTTGAGGTCACAGTATTTAGATCTGAATACCACTTAAGTTAAGTTAAATTGTTCTGCTGAAACCATTCGGGCATAGAGCAACTTAGATTCATCAATTTAAAGGCTGTCATATCCGGGGGGGGGGGGGGGGGGGGATCAGGCACTAATCATATCGAGACGTATATTAAAAGTGAAACTTTCATAAGTTTCCCCTTTATCCCGGTGAAGTACCGGCTGAAAACGTGGCACTGGTAGATCCTTGTAACTTTAAAGCAGTTGTTATTTGTAAAACTTACCAGATATTTATCACTAATTATACCTATCCCTCCATGAGCAGAAATCGTGTGGGAATCTAGAAGTGCTCGCTAACCAGTACACTGATATAACCAACTATCTTTCTCTTATACTCAATCTCTTCAAGAAAAGGTACAAGTTTGTCCATATTACTTTAAACCTTTTCTATCTCTATAAATTTTTTCCTTTTCACCCTTTTGAAAAAAAAGGCAATAGTGAAAGGTTACGAATGGAGGTTTTTGCAGAAAAACGCGGATTTTGGAGAACGAGATAGGTTTTTTTTTTTTTGGAAAACGAAATTAGATATATATATCTAATTTCGTTTTCCAAAAAAAACGAACACGTTCATTTGAGTTTGAGGATATTGGTAAACAAAAATAATAGCGTTTTTGACGATAGTGGCTTAATTTTGACATCTATTAACCTAGCACGTTCAGAAGTTCTGAACATTAGCCACGTAACCCATACTCCCATATGCACCGCTCAGAAAGAAAATCTATTGTTGTTAGGCACTATAATGTTTCAAATGTCACATTTTGTGTGACTTAGTTATCTGCAGTTGTCTAATTATCATTCCTTGGTCTGAAATATAGTAAATTAGGTCAATCTAACAATTATGATACAACATTGGTTAATGGGCACGGATCGAACGGTTACAAGGCAATATTTGGGTAACTTTGTCACACTCATGATACCATACCTCTATTCTACTGTGAGTTGTCCTAAAAACCCTTTCAACTCATTATTTGATGGTTGCTCTACCAATCATAGCCCTAAAAATATGTAGTTAGCTAATACAGGCACTCGGTTATTGGGAAATGAGGTTAATTCTGTCACAATATATGGAATTTAAAATTTTGGGCGAATTATTTATATCTGATTTTGGTTTGAAAGGCGGGAAAATTTTATATGATGACAATGTAGTTGATGCAAGTTAAGATCAGTTGATGTTAACATTGTCACAAAAAATTATACGAAATCGTAAATAGATTAAAAAAAATGATTATAGAATGAAATAGTCTCTTACAATAACTCTTATAATAACTGATGTGACAAAGTAAACATGTCTTGCCCCTATTTTGAAGATCTATATTCTATACCTCTATTAGAATATTGGCCAGAACATCAGAGCTTAAGTTTAACAATTTTAGGTTAAATTTGTCAAAGTCACTAAAAATGTGACAAAATTAACTTTTCATGCCCCAACAATTTCAAGATAGTGTGTAAAAATTAGCATAGGCTGCTTTATTACCTATATAAATCAATCCAAACTACAAAAAAATATATGTTAATGTGATGACGATTACCTAACTCTTATAATAACTGATGTGACAAAGTAAACATGCAATTTTAGATTGTAGTTTTGTTACGTGTTGAAAAACAGAGCTCCCTTATCTCTGTTTAATCGGAAATTTTAACTGCCACTGCACTGCTACTGCACGGTGTTTGTACTTTACCTTTGTACATCTATACAAGTACAAATACACAATTGCAATGGAAAAGTCTGCTCATAACTCTGCAAAGAATCTTCTCGTCAACGGTTTATGTAAAGCTTGTTCGAATGATGAGGTTGTCAAAAGTACCGACATTGTACAGTGTTTTTGGTGTAAGGACAGTTTTCATGCTATCAACTGTGATGAAACTTGCAATGTCAGTGCGCCCACGGTTTTTACTGCTCACCTGTCTCATGCTGTGAACAACACTTCATCTTATGCTAAACGATTTGGTCGCTTTCTATTTATCTGTAATGATTGTAGTACTGCTGAGGAGGAAAAGAGGGCTGCTACTACCGTAGATCGGGTAGGATTGTTAGATAATAAAATAGATGCCATAAATTTGGAGTTCAGGGAAGAGATGTCTGAACTTAAAACCTTGCTGAAGGAACAACTGTCCCAGAAACCTGAGAGAGCTCAAGAGCGATCCTCAGATCAGGTTGATTTTATGAAACAATTTGCTGAACAGTTTTCATCTTTAAAAGAAGACCTCACGAAAAATATCAATGATGTTATTGACAATAAAGTAAACACTGTTGTAACAAAATCTGGTACTGTTTCTCATACAAAGGACGTTCTCTATTCCAGCTTGTTTACCGACTCAAACAGTTCCACACCATCTGCTCAACCACCACATGTTCCAATTGCTCCAACACGTACACAACCTTCATCACCCGAGATTCTAATTCTGTCCCCGAAAGAAGAACAATCGGTAAATGCTGCAACAATGACGAATGTGAAAAAATTTGCTACTGATAAATTAAAGAGCAGTCAAGTAGTATTTCTCAGATGTAATGAAAACAACAAGAAAGTTTCAATTGGCTTCCCTAATGCTGAAATTCGTGATAAGGCTACTTCACTTCTCAATGATGGAAATACCTTAGATTCGTATGGATATCAGTCTAAGAATGGCAACAAAATGCTGCCAAAAGTTACTATTTATGGTGTTTCTTCTGAAGTTCTTGACGATATAGACACTACAGCTGTAGGGAATGATGCCGATAAACTTAGGGATCTTGAAAAGAACCACTTAGTCGCCCAAATTGTGGAGAAAAACTCGTCCATCAAAGATTTGTATGAAGCAGGGCACACTATCAGTATTGTCTATCTCAATAAGATAAAACGTTTCACCAACGATAAGCAGGAACGCATAGAGCTCACTATTGGAATCAAACTATCACCATCTGTCTATAGAGTCCTCTTTAACCAACAACAAGGATCTCTCTATTTAGGTAGTCGCAGATACAAAGTAACTGATCGCTTCTACATCAAACAGTGTTATCATTGTCAAATGATTGGACACACTTCTGTTGACTGTAATGAAGTCAAAACAAATAAACATCCTACCTGCATGTACTGTATGGGAAGTCACCGGTCTTCAGCATGCCAATTTAAGCAGAAGAAGGACAAACATGCCTGTGCTCGATGTTTGGCTTCAACACACACTAATGATGCCGAGAATTCAAGAACACATAATGCGGCAGCTTACGATTGTCCTGTGTTGGTAAGAGAAACTAAACGTATTGCTGCTAACACTGATTTTATTTCAAAAAACGTAATGTGAAATTAGGTGCTAATCGACAGAAATCACAGCTTTCTATTGGTTGTTTCAACACAAGGTCTCTATGCAACAAAACTTGTGGCGTACTAGAAATGCTTAAAGATAACTCGATTTCTATCTGTTGTATCACGGAAACTTGGCTAAAAACTAATGATCGGGCAAAGTTTGCCGAAATCCGTGATTTTGGGTTCGATATTATCAGTGCCCCTCGAAGAGGTAGGGGAGGTGGTGTTGGTTTTCTCTTCAACCCCAAAATGATATCGCCTGTACGCAATGATGTTACTAAATATTCATCTTTTGAAGTACTTGAATGTGTCATTAAAACTGCTGGTGAGATTATCAGGCTATGTGTAGTTTATCGCAGCACTCAGGCCAAAGCGAAATATGATGAAACAAAAATATCTAAGTTTATGGATGACTTTGATGGATACCTGGACAATCTTCTGCTTAAAACTGGATCTCCAATTATTTGTGGTGACTTTAATTTCCATGTTGAAGACCTGAACAATAATGTTGCCCAGAACTTTATTGCTCTTTGTGAGAGCAAAGGCTTCCTTCAGCATGTCGACTCTCCTACTCACATCTCCGGCGGGACACTGGACTTGTTATTTACTCTAGGCTGTGTAAGTGACTCATTGTCTGTAACAGATATGATGGTAGAGACAAGCACTGGAACCAGCTCTGATCACTATCTAGTAAGTTTTCAGGTCCCAGTCACATTCGATCTTCATAAAGCTCGTACATATGAAGAAAAAGATGTCAGAGAGCTAAGCAAAATTGACATCGATAAGTTCAGGGAAGATCTGTTTTGTTCAGAGCTTAACCTTTCTGAATATCAATCCTTAGACGAGACTGTGAACCTTTATCAAAATGTCCTTGAACAGGTGCTAGACAAACATGCCCCACTTATTACGAAACGATTTACTGCTGAAAAGTCTGATTTTTGGGATAATAAATGTCAAATTGCTGTCAGAGAGAGGAGAAGGGCAAAACGAAAAGCCAAAAAGTATCCAGAGAATGATGAGTTTAAAACTACTCATTTTGAAAAATGTGTTGACGCAGAAATCACTATCAATCGAGCTAGGGATGGCTACTATGATAAACAGCTCAGTTCTTGCAAAGGAGACTCGAAAGGGACCTATAAAGTCATAAATAAACTTTTAGATAAGGAATATGGCTCCAACAAATTGCCAAATGGTGAAGATATCGAAGTGGCTGCCAAACTCAAGACTTTCTTCGATCAAAAAGTAAAGACCATTTACTCTAATATTGAGAAGGAAATTCAAAACACTTCCCTAAACGGTCAAGGTACCAAGGACTCTTTTTTTTTTTTTTTTTTAAAGAGAGGCTGGGCCTGGTTGGCCCACGAGAGGATAGCATATGGATGCTTTGCCTACCTCTGGGGTATGGCAGTCCTGTGGGAGGATGCCAGTGGAATCAAGATGTGTAATCACGGATGATGGTAAGTGTTGTGGGGTGTGTTATAGATAAACGGTTAAGTGGTGGTTGAGTGTGGAAGAGAGGGGCGAAACAAGACGGCGTTAAAGTAGTCGCTATGTTACACCTGTCTGGTCCAACTCCTCCGGCACCACTAAGCGTTTAGTGTGGTTTGTAAAGTTGACAATGGTGGAGATGTGTTGGTTGTCGAATATGTCATTGACAGAGAGGTAGTAGTCCCGGAAATATTGACCTCTTATTTGGGCAATAGCCGGGCACTGTCCGAGAAAGTGTGAGACAGTCTCCTCTCCGTCGCCGCATTTAGGACAAGCACTTGTGTCTGATTTGTGAATGGTGTGTAGGTGTTTGTTGAGGCCACAATGTCCCGTGATGAGGTGCACTGCAGTTCTGTAATTTTGTCTGTTGTTACTGAGAGTAGTGTTGAGATTTTTGATGATGTTGATGTTTTTATGTCCAAGTGTCAGTTTAGTGTGTCTGGGACCATTAGTAATCCATGATTCTTGATTAAGTTTTGTGACTTTGTCGTTGATCAGGCGTTTGATGTAAGATTGTGGAATTGGGCAATTCAAAGTGGATTCACTGGTTGTGCCATTTTTGGCCAGCTCGTCTGCTTTTTCATT